TTAAACTTCCTACCACTATTGTGTCCTGCTGTTTGCAGGTAAGGTGTTGAAATCTCCCCCCTCTCATTTCTACCTTATCGAGTTCCTTTAGAACTCACAGTACCTGTTCTGTCCAGGTCAGGCGTCAAAATCTCTGACCTCTCATTTCTACCTTATTGAGTTCCTTTAGAACTCACAGTACCTGTTCTGTCCAGGTACCATTCCTTCCGCGTTGACATCCAGTCCGCAGGAACTCCTTTCACATATTGCCAAAATCATTCCGAATTTGATTCATATACATGTAAATGGTATTTTACAAAGATTTTGGTCATAAACATTGCCATATTCTGCCTAGAATCAAAGAATCAATCAAAATGTTGACTGCTCATGTACACACACCACAATAATAACTCAGTCAATTTACGTCACAAAGGTTAATAAACTATATATTCTTGGTGGGGAAATACAGGAGCAGGTTTGTACAGATTTATGATGCTGTATGACATCATCTCAATTTTGGTGGTATGACATATTTTGCTGGTGACTGACCCAAAACATCTTGAAAGCAGATGGATGTTATGCTGAAAACAAATTGAAGTTTTGTTGAAAAACTTTTGGAGACATTGGATGTACTGGCCTGCCAGTGAGCAGTAGTTGGGGGCTGTGAACTCCGCTACTTTACTATGCCAACCACTCTTGCCTTTAGCCTGATTTTTTCTGCTACAATTTGGACAAGCATTTGAACAATGACCCTGGCCATCACATCTGAAACAACACCCCATCCTCATCCTCTTAGCCTTCTCTTCATTGGTGAGTCATACGAATCCAGAAGATACATCCATAGCGTTTGGATCTGGAGTGGAAGATGAGTACAAGGTTGATGTGTCCGCAACACCGTGGATCTTGCCGTTGATCTTAATAGCAATATTAGCAATCTGCTCTATTGATTCAAAAGTGTCCTGGACCATCACCATAGCAACACGGATCTCTTTCTCAAGGCCTTGTTTGTAATGGCTAATGAGGGTAGGAGTTTCCCAACCAGTCGCCGTGGCGTGGATGTTGAACTCATGCATGTAAGCCGCAACCGTAGTCTTTTTAGATAAATTTCTTCACGCACGTTTGGCTTTTGATTTCTTTTTAGTATCAAAATACATGGCCTTAAAGTTTTGAACAAATCGTTCAAACGTTACTAGCTGAGACTTTTTGGGATTGAACAACCCTTCTGTCAATGGTTGCGCCCAGCTGCTAGCAGCACCAGTAAGGTAGGATAAAGCAAACACTACTTTACTACATTCATTGACAAATTAGGATGGATGGGCTAACATGTAAAGCTGAACTTGGCTAGCACAAATTTTGGCGGGACCTCCACAAGTACCATTGAATTTATCAGGACATGCAACCTTCGGCCCCTTTGGGACTATGGTAGTTTCAACGCAAGTTGCTGACGAGTGGGGCTGAGTGTTTATACTCAATGTAGCGTCCAAGGAGCAGGTTGATAGCATTGGTGAGCTTTGATAGCAGCAAGTCTTGCTTCTGCGTCTTGGGATTTAGCCTCTGCTTGTTCACGTAATGATCTTTCTTCAACCAAAGCTCTAGTAAGTTCATCAAGTTGCTTCTGAATAGTCTCCATATCAGCACGGTCAATAGCGTCAACGGAGTGTACAGTTGTATTGGTTTCAGACTTGTCGTTGCTAGACTCAGTGGTTCTGTACGTAGGTGACTTGGTGGCGTTCGACTGTGGTTGACTGGGATTCTAAGTTCAATCATAACTTCTGTATGCAATTCAAATACTAAAGTTTCAGGTCAAAAGTGTGTGATGTCTCTTCTTTTTGAGTTCTATTGATGTGTTTGGTTCTGAGATACTTCAATCTAATCTAATCTTAATCACCAATTGATTTCTAATATAAATCCTCTTCAATCTTCTGAATCTAAATCTAATCCTTGATCTTGTCTTTTAAATAAGTAGATCTGACAATATGTTATGATTGGTCTCACGGTTCAGTTCAAGAGATGAAGGATTCTAATCCAATAGCAGGTTTCTTATTGTGATTGTCAGATGGGAAAAGGATCTATAATATGACGCATTTACAACATAATAACAAGTCTGATTTGTGACAGTTGTAATAGACGTTTCACTTAGTGTGTAGTCATAACAGTAGATTCCCATATGTCCAGCTGCCTCTATCTCATCATGGATCACAAAACCAATTGCTTTGCGTAGAAGTGGCCAAATACTTTCAATCTTCTGATTGCGTTGAGAGGTTGTATAGATATGAGCTGATTCAGCTTCTTCAGGAGTAAAACGACCATAAATTTGAGCCAATGACATTTAAAATCCAGCCATCTTGATGATTTCAGTCCCATGATCTGTGCAAGCCTTTTGCGGAATTCCTCCAAGTTTTTCAACAATATCCAGATAGTAATATCCAATTCTTTGTGGATCATTGTTATTAACACCCACATATATTCCCAAGACCTTTCTAGACCAAGCATCAATGAGGCCGTAAATTTTAATTTGAAAAGGCTTGAGTTTATCATGACCATCTCTAGACCAGACATGATTTGGACCATCAACATGAAATACCCGCCTCTTCAATTGCCCTTGACATTGTGCAGCAACACCCTCTGGGTCAATTTGTTTAAGTAAAGTTTGGACTGTGTTCCATTTGACTCAAATATTATGTAATACAGCCAAGGCATTCGTCATGCATTGTATCACAGTATCACAATGTGAATCATGTATTATGAATTCCATTTGTTCAATCAGAAGCTCTGGGACCACTAGTCCAGTCTGGAGATCATCTTTCTTCCAGCTAAGTGACAAATCTGGGGACATCTTGCACACATCATACATATTGATCATAATACCTGTATCTCCCTTGGTCTGATCAATGGCTTCTTTCCTTTGATAGCCACATTTATTGAATTCTATGAGGAGTCCTTCTACTAGTGCTTTATCTTGAGGTGATAATTTATTGTAGGCAGTACTGAGGCCAAACATTTAAAGGCGGCAAGTAAGGGTTGTACATGGGATTTTGATCCCAATGCCATCAAGATGTGAGAGTGTTTCATCTCTTTGCATTACAGCTGCAACACACTGGTGTATACACTGCCAGCATTAAGTATATTCCTTGGTGGGAATATGACCTAAGCTGGGAAGATGATTGAGAGTATATTGGGTCATGAAATCATCTTGCACTGCACATCTGAGCCATAAAGCTTATGCTACATATGTGCAAACATCTGAGTAGTCCTGAGCTATAAGCTAAATACAAGTCCACTGAGTTATCTGCTCATTTAGATATGCAAATCACATGTAATACCTTCTGTAACTTTGGTCAGATTGAGACATACATTTCAAAAGATTGACTACATATAGCACAATGGCCACTTGGGAAATATTCATGGAGCTGTGTAACAGTAGGGGAAGGGGAATATGGTCCCTAGGACCCATATTCACACCAAGGAACGTACTTGATGCTGGCAGTGATAGTGTGCTCTTCAATCTCTTGATGATACACAGGATTGTCGTTGTCTTCAGATTCACAATCAGAGTATTTTTGAGCTATATTTTGATGCTGCATTTCAGAAATGTAATTTTCAATCAGTGAAGGAGAAGAATACAAGATTGACAAATGATATTGAGAAAATCTTGGTCCGGCTCTCCATTTTCCACCAAGTTGGATACAACCTATATAACATGTTTGATGAGATAAAGAAAATTCAGGATGGTGGTGGTGCTGAGGAGTTGATCAATGAAATCAAAATTCCGGTCAATTCTGAAATTGACCAGTTGCAATTTTGGCAAAGTACAAGTTTGACGCATAGTGCATGTAGCACATGGTGCATAGTACACACACATAGCGCATAGGGCATATCACATAAGGTGGTCCTTGGGCGCTCATCAGGGACACCATAGAAAACAGATATCTTGACTAGGAGACTTGTTGCTTTTCAGCAGCAACACATTTCTTTGCTACTTTGTGTACGATAGATCCACTCTCATCCTTTATATCATCCAATTTGAGATAGATATCATGCCAAAATGAGTCAAGACCAGATCTTATCTCTGATGACGAAGTAAAGAAGTTTTTGTCATTTAGTTTGGCCCTTGCTATTTGCAGCCCACACAAAATCCATGTAGGCGCTGCCAAAACAGCACCTACATGAAGGTTTCCCATGAAAAAGCGCCTACATTTATGATGTAGGCGCTATTTCCTTTTTCAAATGATGCATGTACAGGCTGAAAAACCAATGTAGGAGTCATTTGTGTATGCCTACATTCTAAAAATGAAATGTAGGCGTAAATTTGAAGCGCCTACATTGTGTAGGCGTCACAAAAATGTGCCTACAGCTTTTTTTTGACTGTAGGCGTAATTTTTGTGCACCTACATATGTTAATACCAACACCCTTATAATTTAATACCAACACCCTTATAATTTAATTCCAACACCCTTATGATTCAATTCCAACACCCTTATAATTAATTATAAGACCCTTATAATCATAAAACTAAAGGCACGACTGAGTTTCTCGGCGAAACTGGATTAAACACCTTAAGCCTTCATAAGCCCCCCTAAGCCCCTAAGCATCCATAACTCCCCTACTCCAAATGGCAGACTCACCCAACCTCTTGTTTTTGTTGCCTTCCGATTCCTCACCCCAATTCTATACCTACCCAGCAAGATCAATCCACAATACTATTGTTTGCTATGCTTTGAGATTCACCACCACAACTCAATCGTAGCAACATTCTTGTGGACAGCTTTAACGCCTGTCGTGCTTTGATATTCACGAAAACAATTTATTCATTTCCGACCGACAAGTTTCAATAGCTGATGTTAAGGTGTTTGTCATTCTGGATTTGCGCCAAACAGCTGTTTTGAATATCTATCTCAAAGAATAACAATCGACAATTCTATTCGATCAATTAATCAAGCTTTGATCATACTCAATCTCAATCAAGAAGGGGTTTCAAGCTGATATCAAGGTGTTCAATATTTTAAGGCATTTTGAACAGATGGAAATCTTGACAATACATCTCAAAGACAATTTTATTCAACGATATATTGAAGATCCAACACAAGAGCATTTTCAAATCATAAAATTCGGGAACGATATCAGAATCTTCTTCATTTCTTCTGAACCGTTGGATTCAACAGTTGAAGTCAAAATTGAATTCCAAATCGATCACTGGATATTTGCTAAGTCAAAGTTGAAAATATCGATTGCCTTAAGACTCAATGAACAATTAATAAGTATCAATAAATCTTTTGCTGGAATTAAGAATGATATGTTTAAAGTTTTGAAATGGATGACTAATTCAATGAAAGAGAAATGTGATGAAGTTACTCAAACGTTTCTAATGGATTGGAAATCGGTTTTGAGGATTGAAAAAGAAGAAGTTATTACACTTGATCATTTTCTTTGGGCTTGGTTGAATGGTAAGTCAATTTTGTTCAATCCTCATTTTTCATACGAGTTTTGAATTCTCATTCACTGGATTTCTTTATACTATAGTCAATACTAGATGTCTTTGGTTTGAATCTAGGACTCAAGAATCATGATCATAATATCACCTTAGCGCCTGTAATCGATATGGTAAATAAATTATTCCAATCCGACTTCGTTTCAGAAAAAACTAAACATACCTCTTCATTGTCTTTTTGGCCCATTCAAAGGTTAATCATACACTTTCATGCAAAGTCAAACCAATTTCAACTCTAAATACCTTTAGTTTATACTCAACACATCCCAGTAATTGTCTCAAATCACCAACAAGTCAAACATTAGTCTTGTCATCCAAACGAAATGAAATCTCAAAGAAAAATACTTCATCGCACCAAAAAGGTGATGAGATTTCATTTTCTTACGGATCTTAACACTAAAGGCACAACTCAAAGGCACAACACGAAACTGGACTAAACCCTTAGCACCTTAACGCGCTGTATCATAACGTTCAGTTCTCATAAATTATATAACAATTAATTGTAAACCAGATTCGCTCAAACAGTTCCCACTCAACAAAATACCTCAAAATACGCCATCAGCGCGAAATGTCAAAATCGGGTCGAACCTGTTCCTGAAGGGTCTTTTTTACTTACCTACGGGCCGTCATCAGGCCACTTTGACGATTCTTCAGGGATCAAGAATATGAATTGAGTGATGGCTTCCTCATTTGAAGAGAAAAAGATCATATGGTCATTGTCGGACCATGACATCAATTCACGTTTTGGTATCATGAAGGGATTGCAAAGATTGTACTCAATGGTCGAGTATGTCATATTGCTTGACCTCCTTGCCCAATTACTCTCATCTAACTGCTCTCAATTTTTTCAGACTTGCCTGATCGACATCCATCCTGCTCAGAGGTACATGAAATTTGATAAAGGTCAGTGGCGTCGAGCGTTCTTCAGACGTACGTAGAAAAATGTTCATTTGGTCACATGATTGTCAATTTCAATCAAATCTGGGTACTTCATATCAGTGTATACTGGTACTTTACTGCCTACAAGTGAGTTGAACATCATATTCACAATGGCAGATGTTCAAATTTCAATATGCTTACAAGAACGTTTGATCCCAGTTCTCCTTCTATATACACTCTTCCCAATTAGCGCATTCCCACCACCGCGATGCAGTGGTCTGCTGTTGCTCTTGGTGGGGCAGTATCATCTTTGATCACAACCCTTGCTACAGCCACCAAACTCTCATATGTCCTACCACGTAGAACAACATTTCTCATCTCGCTAGGCGCATGGTCTGTCTTGTCATCTTGGATCTCACCGCTAGACCTACTGTATACATCACTGGATTTGATTGAACCTCACAAACCACTAAATTGATCGCTATAATCCAATTCTGTTTCTCAGTCTTGACTACAATACTCTTCTGGATTGTACCATCTGATCCGATGTTTGGAGATTGGGTGTCTGGCAAGGCCCACAAGTATCTTGCCAATCAAACCTTTACAGCTGCCTATCCCAATTTTGAGTTTGCAGAACGTTCAGCTTTGATCTCACTTTGGTTACTCGTCTTCCTTTGTAAATTTGTCAAATCATGCTTTTTCTTGACACTCAATTGGAAAATCCAATCCAAGTCATGGTAGGTATGAAAGTACAAGGGTGTTGGGATAAAATCTTTGGTGATATTCTGTGTTGTAATCACCCTATGTTTGCATTGTTAATCATGTTTGTAATGGATTTAGTTTTATTCTTCTTGGATACATTTTCATGGGTGAGACCTCCAAATCTCCTTTTTTGATTCCTTGTATGGCTTTGGAAGTTCCTGACAACCATCTTTCCCCAGTATGTGATTTGGAACACACTCTCCTTTGTTGAGACTTTTGATCTGGACACCTTGGTCAGATACCTTCACATGTTTGCCCAAAAAAATCTATGCAAAAGTTCTTGCTACCTCTGAAATGCAGGCAAGGCTCAAGCCCAAGGTCTTGGTATCTCAGATTTGGAATGCATTCATCATTTCAATCCATCACAAGCATTTACTGAGCATTGCCCACGTCCAACTTCTTCTTTATGTATGTTCTTGTCTCTTATCTTTTGGTCCATGTTTCTCAGTACTGATCTATTGTGCATTTCATCAGCATCAAGTCCCAAGCAAGAATGATGGCAAGTGTACACTTTGAGCACCAATGATCTTCATCTCACAAGAGGTCAAAGGACTAAAGGCCAAATTCTTTCCTCCTGGAACCAAGGCCAAAAGACAAACTCCATTCTCTGCCCAATCTTGGTATGTCTATCTTTTCTTTGTTGCTCTGATCACATTCAACTGGTCTAATGCAATTCTCCATATCATAGATCTATGTCTATTCCTCAACCATTTCCTGTTGACGTCATGCCTACCTTTACCTTTCTCACACCACATTATTCCAAAAAGATTCCGCTTTTGCTTTGAGAGATCATTAGGGAATAAGACCAAAATGCTCGAGTCACCTTTTTGGAGTATTCGAAGCAACTTCACCCAGTTGAGTGGGGCAACTTTGTACAGGATACAAAAATCTTGGCTGAGGAGCCTAATGTATTTCCCTCTTATGAGTTAAGTACTCCAGAGCCATCAAGCTCCTCTATTGAGTCAAAAACTCTGAGATTGTACAACTCTACGGCGGCGCTACGAACAAGTTAGAGCGTCAACTGGAGCAAATGGCCAGGCAAAAGTTTTGATCAGTGGTCTCAATGCAACAATACTCCAAATCTGCCAAGGAGGAAGGAGGAAGTCAAAAACACACAGTTTTTACTGAAAGCTTACGCTGATCTTAACATTGTGTACCTAGACAAAGACAAACAACGTAAAGAAGGAGGAGATATTCAAATCTACTCTGCACTCATTGACAGTCACTTGGAGATCTGATCTTACCCAATGGCCAAAAATGTCCCAAGTTCAGAGGCAAGTTGCCTGGTGATCCAATTTTGGGTGATGGGAAATCTGATAAGCAAAACCATACCATCATCTTCCATTATGGAGAATATGTTCAGTCAATCAATGCCAATCAGGATAATTATCTTGAAGAATGTCTCAAGATTTGTAACATGCTGGGAGAATTTGAAGATTTCCATGTTTCCAACCAATCACCATACTCATTGACTGGTGCAAAAGAATTCATCAAGTTTCCTGTTGCAATTGTCAAAGCAAGAGAATACATCTTCTCACAAAACATTGGTGTCCTTGGCAATGTTGCCGCTGGAAAAGCACAAATGTTTGGTACACTTGCTGTTGGATCATGTTCATTCATTGAGGAAAGTAGCATTATGGTCATTCTGCTGTCCTTAAAACAATCTTTATGACTACTTGAGGAGGAGTTTTGGAGGCTCAAAAAGTTTTACATCTTTCTGAAGATATTTACAAAGATATGAATACATTTGGTAGAGGGGGTAGAATTGAACACACATAATATTATCAATGTGCTAAAGGTCAAGATTTGGGTTTTGGAATGATTTTGAATATTCAAACTAAGATTGGTACTGGTATGTGAGAACAAACGTTGGCAAGAGAGTATCATTACTTGGGAACCCATTTGCCTCTTGATTGATTTCTTACATTTTACTATACTTATCCTGGATTTTACATGGACAACATTCTTGTAAGTCCTACCAATTATTTCTTTTGATATCATTGTATGCGGCAACTTAACATGTATTCTTTACCTGTCCAAATCATCTTCGCTGTTCAATGTTCCACGTTCACCATGGTATTCCTAATTATATTAAATTTCTTCTCATGATTTGTAAATACAATTCAGAAGGTCAATTCATTGGCTTGCCTGGTTGTTACAGCCTTGTTCCCACGTACAATTGGATCAATCATCAAGAAATGTAATGTTTCTATCTTTATCACTCTTTAAAAATTGGACGTTTAGCTTGTTGGGTAGATGATACATTGGCTTGATGGTTGGAGGTCTAAGAAACTGGTTGAGTACAACTTTGAGTTGATTGGGGTACACTTTCTGAACTCTTGGGAATAAAAAGTTCAGCAAAAGACATGGTCAAAGGATATGAAGAATCTACCCAGCAAGAATAACAACTTTTAGTTGGTGGTAAAGTTGATGAGAATCTTGACGTCTGTGGTTTGTTGTTGAATCTTCATGTTTATACTGTTTAGAAGTACCAGGATAAGAGAGACCCGACAATCTTTTAATAGATTGATCAGCTTCTTGTAAAGATTGTACAAGGTCTCATTGATCTTCTCATAATTTCTTTGATAGTCCTAAATGTGCTCTTTCTTTTTCAATAGAAATTTGACCTGGCCAAATTGGAATTTTGTACTTTGGTCCATCAGGATCCTCGATTGCTCCATTCTCCAAATGTAACATATATGACCGGTTTGATCAACACCGGAACCGCTCCGCAACGCTATGGATTTGGTCCCATATGTGTTGCGGAGCGGAGCCTCCGCTATAGGTGGGACCACTATCCAACCGCTATTTGATAGAAAAAATCTCTGATGAGATTGCGGAGCGGTAAAAACGCTCTTTTTGCGATATATAGCGCGCTATAAAGGCACCATTTTATAGTTACATAGGACGCTAGATAGATGATCAGGGGCAGTTACACACACTGCCTGATCAATGAAGTAGCCTCACTAGATATTTTTGATGTCATTGGATATAAATTATCAGTGACTGAGGAAGGTAGACAAAACAGTAAGCTAAGAAACCAATCAAAAACTTACCCGACTGATGATGGCCTTGATATCCTCAATGTTTAGCAATCGAGGTCTACAATAATCAGGAGTGAATTTGATATGTAGTTCTTTTGTTTGGTATCTGATTAGAAGCATCAGGAAATCCAGTGGTGTCAGGCCAAAGACAAGCATTTAGAACATCGCTGGGAAAGAACGATCGAAAGGTATCAGTAAAAGCATACGAGAAAAGACAAGGAATTGATTAATACCTAATCAAATCATCCGTTCGCGTTAATTCAGTCGGAGTGAGGGTAGTGCGTGGGTTATTGTTAGCACGCAGCATGTTTCACTCTCGCAATCACATTGAATGACTTCTAGAAGCTGTGGGAGGAATGGAAAAGAAAGTATGAAGCTTATTAAGTGATCTTTGAAATCAAATCGAATGAAGAATGTTGAGTGGTGAATGAGGTGAGTTCACTAACAAATGGTTGAGGTAAAGAAGCCGATGGGTCTTGGTAATGTAAGTCAAATTAAGTTTTGATTGGAAATCATTAGAATCGATTGTTGGAACGGTCAACTGAAAAGCTGAGGTAAAGATGTCATCAGAAATCAAAGTTGTCATTTCATTATACACTTGTTTGATCAAATGATTCAATCAATTGATCCGAATCTTGAGAGTGACAAGGTGAGTTTGGTGAATGTTGAAGCAAAGCAAAGTTGAATCTAAGAAAATTGAAAGCCTGATACGAAAGTGTTCTTTTCATCGTTCAAAGCGGTGGAATGGAAGGTGCTGTGTATGGCTTCAGGGCATTTTTTGGGTTCCCTCCGCTATATAGCGCAGTAAACACACTCTGGGCAGGTTGCGGAGCGAAAGCTCCGCTATGAAACTCATCCCTACTTGTGTGCAGAGCGGAGGCCCCGCTATATATATTGGTGTATATAGCGGATGCCCCAAGCGCTCCGCAACCACTTTAAGGAGCGGAGCGATTCCGGTATTGGTTTGATGACCAGGATTGATGTTATTGATTTGATTGGTGACTTGATAAAGACCGTTGTATTGGTATCCCTTGGTAGGTGCCCAAGGAGAGTCATTAGCATGGGGACCACCAAGTAAGCAGATCCAACCTTCAAACAACAAAAGTCAACATCAAGTAGCTAAACTGAGTTTGTAATCATAACTCAGATAGTGTTTTATTCAATACTTTTTTGATTTGATTTTGGTCTTGGTTCTTGGTTCTTGGCTCTTGATTCATCCTTTCCATCCCCATTGTTTGTTTTGGTTGACATGATGAGCACATTAGAGAAAAAGGAGATGAGTACTTTTAGGTGATATCAATATAGTTTATCTGGTTATGTTGCAATGTACTCAAGGGGAATTCATGAAATCCTTGATGTTACAAATTAAGACATACAACAAAACTTGACAGGGTGACAGACAGCGGCGCCCGCCGCTAAGGTGCTAGTTTTATAATCAAATGCGCACTCTTACATTTAATACCCTTATCATTTGATACCAACACCCTTATAATTAATCTCACCACCCTTATAATTTAATACCAAGATTTATATTCACACGTGTATAAGACCCTTATAACTAACTCAAGCGCCTACATGGAAAAAACAATGTAGGCGCTTAAAAAAAGTGCCTACATTTTATTTTTCTACATTTAATTTTTGGAATGTAGGCGTACACAAATGACGCCTACATTGGTTTTTCAGCCTGTAGGCGTCATTTGAAAAAGGAAAAAGCGCCTACATCATAAATGAAGGCGCTTTTTCGTGGGAAACCTTCATGTAGGCGCTGTTTTGGCAGCACCTACATGGATTTCGTGTGGGCTGCAAATAGCAAGGGCCTTTATTTATTCAAATGTTCATATTGATCTTGAGCTTCAGTTAAACCATTTGTGGACAAACAAAATCATTCAAATCTTTTTCAGAAATTGAAATCATTCCAATCAAACCTTCAACTTTGGGGGGAAATCAATTGAATGTAGTCAAAGATTAGGATGATGATAATGATTGAGATGATGTTTTTATAGAACAAAATCAAGGTATGATTTTGAAACTATGATCAAAATTAAAGACAGCCAGCCATGGGAGAGATCCTGTTGCGGGGGCCATTTTGAGAGAGCTAAAATGCTCACTTAATACAGTTTGTCAATTAAACAGAGATTGGGACACAGTCCAAAATTTGGACCTGTTTAGGGCATCACTGCAGACATATAAATATGACTTGCGTGTAAGAATCTGAGTATCCTTGGATGTGATACATTGGTCAGATCTCAGCTGTTGTGTTTCTTAGTGATATTGTTATGTGCAAAGAAATAAGAATTGATTTCTCCCAAGCACCACCAGAATTTCTCCGCAATGCTATGAATCTTGACACTTTTCTGCTGCGGAGCGAAGCCTCTGCTATGAGCGGGACCACTTCTATAAATGACTACGAGGTACTGGGTGGCCAGCCACCCTCTAGTACTGGGTGGCCCGCCACCCTCTGGTACTAGTACGGTACTTGTTGGCAACATACCGGTTTGTGAAGGACTCTTCGACACAGACCGCAAGATGCACTTGCTGTTGGCTGCTTAATGTAGTATACACGTGTAATGCTAGTTTAGTAATATAAGGCGATGAAGTAGGGGGAAGAGTGAAAATAAAACATGTTATCTGTTTGTTGGAGTCTATTCGACGGTAGGGGGGGATCTGTGATTTCTATGACAATAATAACAGCACGCCTTTACTGGGCAAACATCTGATTTTTCACATCCACCATTTTGACAATCCACTTCCCTCCCTGTCCCGCCATACTGACCACCTCCGCTGAAAAGTCAACCACTTCATCAGTGGGCATAGACCACCCTCGCTGCCCGCCTAATTCGCTCACATCGTAAATGTATTCCACCTCAAAGGCTCTGAATTCCAGACACTGCAGTCACACATGAGCTAAAATCGTTCGCCGTTTGAAGTTGATCGTAGCTCACACTGTTGTCCCATTCCCTATGCATCAGGCTGGCGACCCGCCACTCGTCCCCGAAGCTGTCAGTGCAGACCAAGGCATCACGCAATACCAGACCCCGCCCTGACACAGTCAACCCCGGCCCATTCACTCGCGCCAACCCATCTACCTGGCCAGCACTCGATGTGTCACGATCTAGTATTAATTGGGCACACCGCTCGCGGCCTCCCCGCACTATAACTCCGCTCAAGCTACACAGGCCAACCAAATGCTGTCCTTGCACCGCGCCCTCCTCAATCAGTAACACTGGCGAGGAGTTCCTTCCGGTACCTCCAAAATCCACCATCGCATCGTAAGCCCTACGCCGACGACTACTGTGGCATCGCTAACCCATCCGCATGATGTCAGTTACTGCTGAAGACAAAGCCAAACCGGACTTACCAAGACAAGTACATTCAATACACCAAACCATCTCATCGGCAGTCGTTCGTAAGTGCCAACTCCGAGTGCAGCAGCCATCTGGGCGATTTCTTCAAGTGGTGGTCAATTTAGCCTGATCTTGATTCTAACTGGTAGGGTTCGTTGGAATCTAACAAAAAGGTTGAGGTAGGAGTGGAATGGCCAAAGTAATCTTGCAGCTGACTCGCCTCTTCAAATACAAATTACCTCAGCCACCGACGCACATCCTACTAAGGCGTCAAAATCACCTTTTTCCGCACTGTTGGCCTTCTCACGCGAATCAACCCAGCCACCTCAATAACCGACCCATCTGGGCAAAATCGTCAGGCTTAGCACTCGGAGGCCAACAACCTCAGTCATATCTCCCTCTGCCACGCGGCCTCGCCAGGGTTCCTTAAAGTAAGTGGGGCTATCGCAATGCCTCTTCCATTATTTGCCTTGCCCACATACGACCTCGACATACCTTGACCCAATGGAACTACCTACAATGCCAGTCCATATACGATCCGTTCTTCTGTTAGGCAACCGAGTTAGTACTGATTCGCCTGGATAACTTGTTGTACGGTCTGTCTGATGTTGTCCCTGTAGGTCTCGACGCAATCACAGGGGCCAAAATAGTGTAAGACCTACGGTCATTACATTACACATAGATCAAAATACTTAATAATTAGGACTTAAACTTAAGGATGCTGTTTCGTTATATATATTGTTTTCAAATTCTACTCCTGGTTCCTTAGTGATCTGGGACTGACTTCCCACCTCATATCCTTCGGAACCAGGTACGTCTTATTTCTTTTCATTTTCTCTTACTTTGTTCTATAGTTGTGGTTATGATGGTTAGAGTGATCTGGGACTGACTTCCCACCTCATATCCTTCGGAACCAGTCTCCTTTACTGGGATCTCTGTTGGTTTGAAATATAAAAAGTCTCTTGGGTTCTAGAAACCCTGTCCCGCTGTGCCTCACAGCGTCCCTGTTATTGTGATCTCGAGTGAAGGTCATACAGACCTTACACTTTTTTTTTCTCAAACCCAATTCCGAGACACCGACGCCAACTTTACAGCGATCACTTCGAACTGTTCAATTTTAATTACCCCATACCAATTGAAACTTAATCTCATTCAATCCGAATCAACTCAATTGTACTCAATCACCATATTATCTCACTACAGTTCGAAACACCTCTGGTTCTCCACACTCTGGAGAACCATCCCGACCATTCGGTCGATCATCTTTTTTTCTTCGTATGAATACTAGGACTGCGGGAAAATCAGACCCAATTGGTCAAGCCGGACCTTTGCCAGACCCAGAGGCGATTATTCGAGCGGCTAACAAAGCTAATCGACTCGCCAAGCTAGAAAACAAGCAAGACATTCAGACTCAGACTCAGACTCAGACTCAGCCAGACTCAGACTCTTCTAATAGCCAGCAACCATCTCTGCCAGATACTCCCTCTAGACAACGTACCGACACCTTACTACCATTTAAGACCGCACCGCTGTACTTACAACATCTGAAAAGCAAGCAGGGTTGTGCCACGATGAGCGAGCAGGGCCAATCAGCAGCAGACGACAAGCCTATGCCCGATCTAGTTAGACTCGTTCTGGAATCTCAGCTTGCCGGGAATAGACGCATGGAAAAGCTAGAAGAAATTGTTTTAAAACTTGCAGAAAATCAGACCAATGCAGCAGCAGACGCAGCGACGACAGTATCTAGAGAGGAGGGCAGCATCGACCTCACGAGATTCCGCACAGCTGATGGACCTGTCTTCAAGGGTCCGTATCACGATGTCGAAGCTTTCTTGACGTGGTTTTCATCCTTGAAAACTTTCTTTCGTACCAAGGGCGTCATACTAGACAAAGATCGAATCACCTTAGTCGGCAACTACCTTACTGAACCAAACGCTCATGCCTTCTACGAAGGAGGATTCGACAGATTCATCAGAGGTTCTTGGCACTCATTTGTGAAAACTCTTTTCGCAGCATGCTTGCCTAACGATTGGATGGACAAGTTGTACGAGAAAGCCCAGCACTTACGCATGTCGTCGTACGAGGACTTCAAAACTTATAGTACTCGAGCTCGTACAATTCAGAACTTGATCAATTTTGATGACGTCAAGTTGGACGATTACCAGTTAGCAAAGTTCGTGGAGTATGGTATGCTAGAAGAACTCAAGGCTGGAGTGAAGCTGTACTGGGGATATACTAAGGCCGACAAGGATTTCACTTACCATCAGTTCGAAAGTCAATGTGAAACCTTATATGACTCACTCATCGCCTCAAGAATTATCAACAAGAAGTCTCGGGTCGCCGCGCAGCCCAGCTCTTTTGGGCCGACTCGACCCCATGTAGCCAGCACCTCATCGTCTTACACTTCAGCACCAAGATTGACCGACGAAGAGTATCAGTGGAAGATCGCATCGTATCGTGATGTGTTGGGCATCTGTCATTTCTGTAAAAGCTATTGTGGAAGCGAATACCGTGCTTGCAAGGGACATTACGTCAGACAGAAGGTTTCGTTCCCTCCAGGATACGTGGCTCCACCAAAACCAGCCAACTACGTGCCTCCAAGGGCTCGGTCATCGCCTCCATCTTCAGCGCCGACAGCAGGACGAGCTACCTTACCTCCAGCTGGCAGACCACCAATCTCGTACGCCAAGGCAGCCGCGACCGCCGAATTTCCAGAACTTGATCAAGCTTCGGTCGCTGCGTTGCAAGCTTTGGATGAGGAACTCAAACAAACTGAAAGAGAAGAGTGCGTACCCAAACACAAAGCTCCTCGTGTCATTATCGAACTCATGTGCAATGGCAAACAATTGAGAGCCTTAGCTGATCCAGGGGCCGAAATTAATTTATTAACAGATCAAGCGGCGGAAATGCTTAAACTTCACCGTCGCCAATTGGTTCGGCCTACGCAGCTAGGCTTGGCAGTTACAACCAACTCCCCTCCACCGTTGTTGACACACTTCACGATCGCAAATCTTTCGGACGAGGTATCAGGGAGAAGATTTGACAGAACATTTTTCAAGTTAGGAGATGTGGGTGGCGAGTTTGATATGATTTTAGGCACCCCCTTCTTTAGAATCTTTCAATTCTCTGTGTCTGTCTGCCAAAGGGCCATTGTTTGCGAGCAAAGTGGAATGAAAATTATTGATTATAGGCGTTTGATTGAGATGAAAGAGAGAGAGTTGCGTGAGAATGTGCCGCGGATTGTTGAACCAGTGAGAGTGACAGAAGGTTGGGAGGCAGAAGTGAGTAAGCGTGAAAAGGCTTTATCAGCAGCAAGTTTGGCAGAACAAGAGCGAGGAGAGATATTAGAGAGAGAATTTTTTGAGGAATTTAAAGATTTATTTCCGTCCGATATACCAGCAGTTTCAGACAAGGCTGAAGAGGAAGGCTTGTTTACGGATGGTTCATTTCCCGAGAAGATGCAAAATGAAAGCTCCAAGATCAGACACAAGATTATCCTCAAGGATCCAGAGGCAGTCATCAAGGAGAAACAATATACTTATCCGGTGAGACATCTGAAGTCTTGGCAAGCTCTGATTGATCAACATTTAGCCGCTGGAAGAATACGTCGTTCAACGAGCCAATACGCTTCGCCCAGCCTGATTATACCGAAGAAGGACCCTAACGAACTTCCAAGATGGGTATGTGATTACCGCGTCTTGAACAGTCAGACCGTGAGGGACCGTGCTTCTTTACCTAATGTAGACACGTTGGTCAGACTGGTGGCGAGTGGCAAGTTTTTTTCCATCATTGATTTAACAAATGCATTCTTTCAAACTCGAATGAGGGAAGCGGACATTCCCCTCACACCGGTACACACACCATCCGGGTTATATGAGTGGGTTGTGATGCCAATGGGATTGACAAACGCTCCGAGTACACATCAAGGGAGACTTGAAGAGGCGCTAGGAGATTTATTAAATTCAATCTGCGTGGTTTACCTTGACGATATTGTGGTATTTTCAAACTCAGAAGAAGAACACATCAAGAATACACGGTTGGTTCTTCAACGTCTCCGAGAAGCAAACTTATACTGTAGTCGGAAGAAGACCAAAATTTTTAGGAGTGAAATTAAATTTCTAGGACATTGGATTTCAGGGGAAGGTATCAGAGTGGACGACGAAAAGGTAGCACAGGTGCTCAGCTGGAAGACGCCAAAATCAGCTAAAGGGATAAAGAAATTTTTAGGTACTGTCCAGTGGATGAAGAAATTCATCTGGGGGCTGCAAAAATACGTTCATAAGCTCACTCCACTGACCAGCTCAAAACTAGACCCGAAGAAGTTTGCTTGGGGGAAAGCGGAGGATGACGCGTTTGAGAACATTAAACGTCTAATGACGTCGTTACCACACCTCAAGAATGTTGACTTCGAATCTGAGGATCCACTTTGGCTTTGCACCGACGCGAGTGGATCGGGTTTAGGAGCTGCTCTATTTCAAGGCAAGGACTGGAAACTGGCTTCGCCAATCGCATACGAATCTCGCCAGATGACACCAGCCGAGCGTAACTATCCGGTACACGAACAAGAGCTACTGGCGGTGATCCACGCCCTACACAAATGGCGTATGCTGCTCCTAGGCATGAAGGTGAATGTCATGAGTGACCATCACTCCCTGACGTATCTCATGAAGCAGAAGACATTGAGTCGACGACAAGCACGTTGGATTGAGTTTTTGGCTGATTATGACGTAGAATTCAAGTATATAAGAGGTGAAGAAAATACGGTCGCAGACGCTTTATCTAGGAAGGATGTAGAAGACGAGGAGGTAGGGGCAGAGGGTGTAGACTGCGTAGCAGCACTGATCGAGGCTGGACCGGAGTTATCGCCGAGGGTCAAGACCAGGATTCAAGAAGGTTATGTGGGAGACAGCTTCTACAAAGCTATAACATCAGTGTTGCCTTTACGCGACGAATGCTCCTTGTCGGATGGACTACTTTTCATTGAAGGTAGGCTGTACATACCTCCGGTAAACGGCTTGAGGCAGGAGCTTGTGGAAGAAACGCATTCTAGGTTGGGTCATTTAGGTTACTTGAAGACGGTTTCAGACTTACGCCGTGATTTTTTTTGGCCAAAGATGGCAAAGGATGTAGAATTTTTCGTGCAATCATGTGACGTATGTCAGCGGATCAAAAGCTCTACGAAAGCTCCAACAGGACATATGTTGACGCCTCAAATGCCGCAATCGCCCCTCCATTGCCTTGCAATCGACTTTGTAGGACCGTTACCGAAAGTCAACAACTACGACATGCTTCTTACGGTCACGTGTCGTTTATCAGGTTTTGCTAGACTCATCCCGTGCTGTCAAACTGACACCGCCGAGAAGACAGCATCACGATTATTCACAGGCTGGATAGGAACCTTTGGCGCCCCACGATCAATCATCAGTGATCGTGATAAGACATGGACGTCGGGGTTCTGGAAAGCGCTCATGAAGAAAATCGGCACTGAATTTCACATGTCGACGGCCTTCCATCCACAAGCTGATGGGCGTAGCGAAAGGACCAACCGAACGGTAGGACAGATTTTGCGGACTTTCACCTCCAAACGCCAAGGCAAGTGGCTCGAGGCTCTTCCAGCGGTTGAATACGCCATCAACGGCGCTATCAACGTTGCGACGGGCAAATCCCCTTTTGAACTAGTACTTGGGAAACCGCAACGCCCACTCGTGGCACAACCAATAGAAGAGACCGATCCTAGTTCGTTAACCAAATGGATCAGCCTCCGAGAAGACACGTGGGCGGCGGCCAAGGATGCGCTTTGGACGAGTCGTGTGCAGCAAGCACTCCATCACAACAAACGTGTGCGCTCGACAGATCCGGTGGAAGTGGGTTCGTGGATGCTTTTGGACTCAGCAGACTGGAAAGGCAAACACATGGTAGGGGTGGCGAAACTGAAAGAGAAGTTTGAGGGTCCCTATCAGGTGGTGAAATCCTTCAATCACGGTCAAAACGTGGAGCTCGACTTACCGGAGGGTGACAGACGGCACCCAGTGTTTCACATTTCGAAGGTCAAACCCTACGTGGATCGGGAGGATGAAGGAGGTGCACCGTTAGGACGAGGATTACAAAAGTAAGTTCCTTCCAAAGTATGCACCGCCGGGTCTCTACTACCCCAAAAGTTGTCAAAAAAAAAAAAAAAAAACATACCTCGGCCACTCTGTGAGCACAAATTCTTCGACGTCTTGCCCATTAGGTCTTCACGAGGACAACTTTCACGGACGACCGGGATACACATTTGATTTTTTTTCTTTCTTCTCTTTTCTTTTCTTCTTTATTTCACTTTATCATTTTAGTTTCTTTTTTTTTTTTTTCTTTATTTCTTTCAATTGAAGTTATGGTTTTTTTTTTGATTTTCTCATTTCTTTTTTCTTTTAAATAGAAACCTTTTAGTATGATTATGTTTTTTTGCTTTTCTATTTCTTTTTTCTTTTTACTTTTTATCAACTTATTGACGTCTATCCTTTTCATAGGAGGGAAGACTGTAAGACCTACGGTCATTACATTACACATAGATCAAAATACTTAATAATTAGGACTTAAACTTAAGGATGCTGTTTCGTTATATATATTGTTTTCAAATTCTACTCCTGGTTCCTTAGTGATCTGGGACTGACTTCCCACCTCATATCCTTCGGAACCAGGTACGTCTTATTTCTTTTCATTTTCTCTTACTTTGTTCTATAGTTGTGGTTATGATGGTTAGAGTGATCTGGGACTGACTTCCCACCTCATATCCTTCGGAACCAGTCTCCTTTACTGGGATCTCTGTTGGTTTGAAATATAAAAAGTCTCTTGGGTTCTAGAAACCCTGTCCCGCTGTGCCTCACAGCGTCCCTGTTATTGTGATCTCGAGTGAAGGTCATACAGACCTTACAAATAGATACTCACATACATGTGAGCGTTGTAGACTTTTCGGAATTCTCCAAAAAAGATTTGTTTTCTTTCAGATTGATTCAATTCAAAATCTTGGTTGTGTTCCGGTGATCAGCCTGTGGTGCTCATATCTTACTTGACATTTGTTGAGAAGGCTCATTTCCATCTTGGATGAGCAATAACTGATTTCCAATGAGTACTCAGGATCAGCTCATGGGTCACTGAATACTCAGCAATTTGTTCAAAATGAAGATGAGCACGTGAACTATACCTTCCTGAGGCTTCATTTTTCAGTGAAGAAGCCTGCACAGGGGCGTCCCATTTGCGCTGCTCAGCAAATACTCAGTAGCATCCCCTGAGTGGATCACTGATGGGCCAGACTTCCCTCAGACTTCCTTGCTAAGGAATGAAGCCTGATAAAAGTGCCATCCCATCTGCTCAGTTTATCTCAGTTGCTCAGCTAATCCTCAGTGATATCCCCAGATAAAGTTTTTCACACTGAGGGGCTGAGATCAACTGAGAAGCCCCTCAGCCAATACTCAGTGACATCCATTGGATCCTTCTGATCCGGCTAGGAATGCCCCTGAGGACTAGCTGAGCAGCCCCTCAGCCAATGAGCAGTGAGTTCCTCCGGGGCCTTCTGATCTCAGGAATGCCCCTGAGGAATAGCTGAGCAGCTCAGTTGAACAAGCAGACAGGCCTCAGGCTTCATTCCGGAGCCATGAAGCTTGAGGCAAGCTTGGCGCTCTGTGATCCGTCTGGGGGATGCTTCAGAGACTTAGCTAAGGGAATACTCAGTTCAGCTCAGCCCCTAAGCTATACATTAGTGGCATTCCTTGGAACTTATTGAACCAGGGAATGCTGCTCAGGATCAGCTGAGAAGATGGATCAGGCCTTCCTCAGACTTCTTTGCTCAGGAATAAAGGCTGAGGAAGGCTTAGTTTGTCTGCTCAGTTCCAGATGATCATGTAATCAGCTGACAAGCAGAAAGAGCAGGGAAACAAATTGGAAACATATGGGAAACAAATGGGAACAAAACAGGAACATTTCAATGCTCACATAGTTGTGAGCATCAATTTTTGCCCCTGTGAATGCAGCCAACCGACGGCCCGTCACCTATATGACAGCGAGATATTTGTGTGCTTTGACCGGCCCGAATTCATCCCCGTGACCATTACGTCACCTACTATGAGTGATCCAGTCGAGGCCAACACCTCCTACTTGCTACGTGGCACGCTCTTACCTCGCTCCCACAACAGCCACACCACCCTTATCCTCACATCCACCGCATCCGCCACTTTCGACCCCAGGATTAACACTAATAACTTCTCTCAGCGAGCCTACATCTCAAGCGTCGGCAGGGTTACGGAGTGCCATTTTTCACATCAAGAACACCGGTGGATTGTCAGGGCTCGCCATCGTGACTATGACCCTATTGTGAGCTCTCCTTCGCGCCGTCATTGCCGCAGCTGACCACCGTCTACCAGGACCGAAACATAGTCAACTTCGATGTGGAGTACACTCTCCAACGTGCCACCATGCGAGAAATTGGTCTTGAGCTGTTTGCCATTGGGAATATTCTGGGCTTCAACGGTAGGATCTTTGGTTACGATCAGGGCCACGGTCGATGGATCATACATGTATGTCTGCACCTCATAAAGGCCCGCACTTGAATTGCCTTACTGACTCACTCAAGCATTGACAGTTGACTGAAGCAGAACCAATGCAACCATGGGCTCTCGAGTTCAACGTCTGAACGCAGCCTTCATGCATGTTCCCAGCAGCAGTCAAAAATGAACTCGCCGCCGCGATAGCACGAACTGCTGTAGTTCGATTTCATCACCGTGTTGAACCTGTCTCGCCTCAGAGTTTGTAATGAACCCACACGTTCCTTCGTCTCATCATCGCTGACCTCGGACCTCGCGACTGATGTAAGGATCACTTCTAGACGTAGACAATCCCAGCCCTGTCTATGTGACCTCGCCCGGCTTTCTGACTCCTCGCATCATGCCTTCCCTCACTCATCGTGAACACGCTCAAACTCAACCAGACCTCAATTACTCTCCGCTGCTTCTCACCCCTATTTGTATTTCGCCACACATCTCCTCACGATTGCCAATACCATCTACATTGTCTAACACATCTTCAATCGCATGTATCTGATTTGTCATGAAATGGACCTATGGTTACAACTCGGGTTTCAGTAGCAGGTGGTCAAGGATTTGGCCAGGGACAGGGACCTCCGCCGCCCAAGGCCTATGCGACTCAATCCAGTGAATACACCTAGGGCGAGCAGCTGTTAATGCCTGAGTTGCGCTCCAGTCTCTCCAGCACCTCATTCTGCGGCAGCTACTTCAATTCGCGTCGCCTGACAAACCCCTCTGGTCAGTAACTTGATACAAAACGGATCTAGGGGGATACTAACTACCACGATCCATGTCCTCTCCTGCTCGACGTACTTCAGCAGAGTACCAACCATCCTTATGATCGTGCCAGGGCGGCACACTTCCGTAGCTAGTCCCGCGATTATACCTTCCCTGTCAGTGTATAGCACCCCGAATTGTAGCACCTCCCCTGACTGTCATGACTCGTCAGTACAATGTTATTACAGTAAGAGCAGACCTTCTGCTCACATTCGGAAGCCAAACGTTGTGACGCAGCCATAGTCACCACCAACCCTGCGCACCTAGGTCTGGCCGTACAGACTTGCGTCTTATGATCTCACCTCTTCCCGCAACACCAATGACATTCAACGATTTGTGGGCCAAAGCCGCCAGAGTCGGCGTGAGATGAAAGACCTCCTCGGCGGTCACAAATGTCGAACCACTCCTTGCAGGGCATAAAGCGTGGCCAACGAAAGCAACGGTGGCACCACTCGCAAGGACTATACTGTTCTCGATTGTGATTTCAAAATCCGATGAGTCCGCGGCGTCGAGTGGATTTCTTGCAATGGCACAGTACGACTGCCGCTCGTCCGAACCAGTCGAAGACTAACAGCTATGTCAGCTCAAGCATCAAATACGTAGAAGGGGAGAGAGCTCACCCCAAGTCTGATTGTGCCGCTCAACTCAATCGACAGGTCAATGAGGGGTGGCATAGTGAAGATTCTGAATTGATGTTTCTGTTCAAATTCTCGGTAGGACCCCTCGACCTGCGTCGCTAGTAGCTTTGAAGCTACGGTCAAATCTTCGCGCCCTTCTATCTTTCCATTCGCATTGGAGGACCCAATGTTGCCTGTACTGTCCCAAACCCATTCTGTACCTCAGATTGCCCTGAATGTCTCGATTCAGGACATCTCGTCGCGTCCAGTTGGGACCTTTCAGGAGAACATTCCCTGACTGATTTGAAGACATATCCGTCTAAGACTCCAGGACCATATTTGGATAGTGAAGACTTCTATATTCACATTCAAAGCAAAAGTCAGGCAGTTAACGTTCTTCACGTGCTTGTCAGCCGAGTCGGCTTGTCTTGATCAAGTCAGGCGCCTGGACGCTTTTGTCGTGCCATAATCCAAGTAAGTCTCTCTCTGCCAGTACGAACTTAGCTCAACAACAGCCAAGTGTTTACCCATTGGATCGCCCAATGCAGTCCCCCTCACTCTTCGTCCCCGTTTCGTGAGTCATGGCGCACCCTCGCGATCCTCGTATGACGGTAAATTTCAGTGGTGTTTTTCGACTTGACGAAGCGGTCAGTTCGTAGAGTTTTGGGACGGCCCGAGAGTGGTCTGTTGCTAACTTTCTATGCGTACGCAGGTATTGGGACAGTCCTCAAGCACTCTCCATCCGCACTGGTTTCCAGCCCCTATCTACCTACCCATGAGTCGTCGTTGGCATAACAAGTCTTTGTGCATTTCGGGCAGGAGCCAGCTCCATTTGGCAGAGCCCGCTGTATCTGGCTGACTGGGGAGGTGTACGCCAGACCTGAACTCCGTGATACGATGGTTCGAGTCAGGCCCGGGTTTGCTATTGAGCAAGACGACTACGCCTCTCAATTACCTGTTCCCCTTCCTGTAATCACGGTTCGTAGCCGAGGCTACGTATTGCGCTTTGGCCGGCAAAACTTGGATCGTTGGATCGTTGTAGCCTTGCATAACGTCTCGGACGAAAGTGTACGTCAATTCCCCTCTGGCACGGCGAGGTTAGCTGACATGTCTCTAGTCAGGGCGGGTTATTCACTTCAACGTCATCTACGAAGTCTCGACTGAGGTGGTAGCAGAAATCGGTGAGGATGTTTTCGGCCTGGGCAACGTTGTTAACTTTCACGGCCAAGTCATGCACTATTTCCGTCGAAGTGGGAAATGGGTTGTCAAGGTAAGCTTAACGCTGGACCGCCCTGGATAGTAGACTGACTGGGAGCAGCTACGGGCAGCATATTCGGAACCGACGGCGGGCCCCATTCGAAGTTTACATAGACGGCGAGCATCCAATTAAAGCACTAACTTCCTCACTCACCACCCCGCGCCGGGCTAACCTACGTAGCGTTTCGACTGAAATCCCGGGCGAATTCAACGTACTCCCATCATTCGATCAACTCACAAGCGTTTTGCCTTTCACGACAACAATGAATGCAATGTATTCAAACCAATCAAACACAGTCATGATAAATGTCTAGATTCTCAAGATCATCTCCAACCCTAGATGTACCTTGTAAACTCCCATCTATGAGTAGACCTGCTGCTTTCATTAGATCTCATTTCTTTTAGAGTTCGAGTTGTAGCAGCTGTATGTCCTTTGCTCTGCTGATATAATCCAGTTGGCAGTTTTCTTATTAGCAAGGTATGAGAATGGCTAGGCATGGACTGCTTGTACATGTTCAGCTACCCTACCCTACCTGGCTAGTACTGTACCAGATCAATCAAGGGGTATTAGCACATTCACATGGATGAGATGGTTGTGAGCCTTGCTAATCGTAGTTCACTTTTCACACTTTGAGTTGCTCTCTTTTACTTGTCTAGAGTTCGCTCATGCAGACTTGCTATGACTCAGAAGCAATCTGGCCAGTCGTAAATTTTGTTATTGAAGGTAGACGCCATAGAATGGTACATTGCATGTAAAGGCTAAAGTGACCCATTGCGTTGGTAACATACACGTCAACCGCCTGTAGCTACTGAGCAGAAAGTCCCATGGCAGACAGATTACACTCGGCCCGGCGAAACCTGCCTACTTCGAAGTACATCACACGTGAGAGAATGAAAATTTAACAACCGTTCGCAGGGTGAGCTGCAAGAGGAGAAAGAAATGAACCTCTGACTCACCCTATTGAATCGCGCTTTTCGAAACAACGTTGACCGTTTCGACCTCGTTGTTGCCAGCCAGTGACACAGTCGTATGCTTGGCCGATGTGCACCTTGATAAACCCACATAGAGTTGACCGTGAGCAAATACAGGCGTGGGTAAGACCAACACAACTCTCTCAACCGTCTGGCCTTGTGACTTGTTGACGGTCATGGCAAAGGCTTGCGTTACCGGAAACTGGGAACGGTGGAACGCTATTGGCACCGTTGCGTCGCCTGGGTGTTGTAGCGTTATACGGGGCAAGAAGACCTCTACACCTTTCTTCGGCCTGTTAATGATCAAGCAGTACAGCGCATTGTCTGACAAAGCCAGGATTAGTAAGCGGGTTCCATTGCACAGACCTCGGCGTAGATGTAGATTTCGAAGCAGAACTACTACGCATCCCACCTTTAATTCAAGGTCATGTTGCGGGAAACCAGAGAAGTTAAAGGAGTTGAGGATGTCGACGCTGACCTGCTCCGCCCAGTCAGCTTGCATCTCATTGATTCGATCCACAGTTTTATTTAGCGGTGTGATTATAATCCGCGCCGAGAAAAAGGTTGCCATTTGTGCCCAGGCCTGCCTTTCTAACAAAGCCGTAGCGTCTGAATAGAAAGAATTGACGACCGTCTTATCAAAGGCTGCGTTGACATTGAATGGAATCACCTTAACGTGTTGTAGAGGAATGCGGGCAACTGTCTCTGACTGAAGCTGACCATCTCCAACCTGTAGTAGCCACTTAGCAAATGATTCATTCAATAATTGGGTGTTATGATCATTGCTGCCCTGACGCAGCCTCATGTTCGTTGTTAGTTTGAACTGCGTCACGGCATTCCAAAGGTAAGAGTTCTTGATGCACGCCCGGACTGAGTCTTGTAACGTGCCCATTCTCACGACAGGCAAGATTTGGCGGAAGTCCCCCGAGAAAAGTACAGTTAAACCGCCAAATGGTTGATCCAGGTCCCGTAGATCCCGCATTGAACGATCCACGCACTCAATCGCGTCTTTGTTTATCATAGATATCTCATCCCAAACAATAAACCTTGCACTCGCCAAGAGGCGCCCAGTCGAGTCCGCTCTTGTGAAATTGCACGTCGATGTGTCGTCTGGCGAGAGGGGTATCTTCATGACTGAATGGGCAGTCCCCCCATTTATCAGCAGCAGGGCGGCTATCCCGGACAATGCGACTGCTAGAAAGGGTATATTATTTGTATGACAGTAATTCAGGCAGGTATTGAGTAGATAGGTCTTGCCGGAACCCCCTGGGCCATCAACAAACAGCATATTTCCCTCGTCCGACTCGATTGAACCTCGGACAAAGTCGAAGATTTCAATTTGCTCTGCGGTCAACGAACCGATTGCTGCCTCAAGCTGTGTCGTCGTCATTGGGGGCTCGCCTATTCTTTCGTCATCGTCGGTTGTACCACCACCAATCTCGAAGAGCAGTTGAAGATCGACATCAAACAAACCCACTTCCTCCAGAGTCTTCCCCATGCTCAAGACGCAGCTTTCGAGTAGAGATAGTCCATAGTTGTAGATCTGTGCAAGTATTGGTCTTAAGTTGGGCGAAACCAGTGCGAGTTGGTATTCACAGTCATCGCAAAGATCATCCATGTGGTCCTCCCAAAGCCGGATCGGATTGGCAGGCGGACTGTGGACTAGTATGAGGCCAAACATTTCTCGTAATTGTCTGCCTGTTTTCCAGGCAGGCGTCGAAGTGGGTATCTGAAAGCAAGAGGCCCAAAGCGTCCGCAGCACTTCTGAACGTGCGATGAAGTTGACCATTGACCGTCTTCAAAAAATCAAATGAAGTAGGGCCTTTGACTGTTGTTAAAAGAAGTCGAAGGTAGTACCTTTCACCCTGAGACGGTGAGGCAAAGTGAAGACGTGCCACGGCAATGGTATTGTTGATTCTCCGTATCCAAGCTTTCTCGCCTTTGTTCCACCAGTAATAGGTTGGCATGTCCCCGTAAAGCAAGGATCGGACTGGGATGTTTGTTTTTGTGATGATTCCTCCAGCGTTGCAAGTAGCAAAGAACTCTGTCAGAGTCGTTCGGCGGGCCTGACCGGAATCAAGTTGATTTCTCAGACTACTTGTGTTCTGGAAATACACGAGTTGCAAATCTGGCAGGTGAAGCATGAGCCTGGTAATGGAGGGGTAGCAACCTGAAAGTGAATACTTGTACAGACGCCAAATGGCTGTACCGTCATTGTCAGTATGTTGAACTCTGGTTGCAATGAATGTAATAGCTCACCTTCAGGAGAAGCTAGAGTTCGCCCGTCAACGAAATCATTCGGCTCGTTCTCAACCTCAAGGCTAACGACACTGCGATCATGACCCTTGGAGATGTATTTGTAGAGATATTTGATGGATTTCATTCCAAGTGTGACTTCCACATTGATGTGGCATTGAAACTTGAGAAGTAGAAAGGGATTGTACGGGACAACGTCTCGATTGGTGTAGCAGTACCCATTTTTCACAAAGAACCTACCATCATCCGGCCGCTTATAGCTGGGATATGCTTCTTCAGTGATCGCTGTCTCCGGTGTGAACTCCTTCGGGTAACCATATTTGCACTTAAATCCATTCCAGCAGGCCTTACCTTCGTAGCATGGCCCATGTAGCATGTACTGGGTGACGTGTTCAAACAAATCTGGTGAGTGTTCCGGGTCCGGAAGTACTGCTGAAACAGCTATATCAATTGCGGCAGGCGTTCGCGGGGCAGATGGGGTGTCGTTTATTAAAACGGTATGATCGTGAGGGTTTCCTCTCTTTTGGAACTCGACAGTATGAACATAAGAAACGTTCGTGCCTAGTCTGTCTCGCTTGAATAGGTCCTCATGCAGTTCTCGGAGTTTGAGTTCGAAGACACGTGCAACTAAGTCTGGTCGGTCATCTGAGGTTTGGCCAGGTAGAAGCGCCGCAGTGATTTCCGGCCATTTAGGGTTAGCCGTCATCGTCACAAAGAAGGAAGGAGGGCCGTAAGCCTTTACTAAAGCCATCACATCGTGATACAGTTCGTGCATAGCTCTAGGTCCGCCTATAAAGGATGAGGGCAGTATAATGCGTTTGCCAACGGTCATATCGTTGTTGGTCAGAGCTTCGGTTGCACCTTTATAAAGCTCGGCGCGAATTCGTCTCTGGTTCATCTTGAAGTACTTCATCCGGGTGTTCTCAACACATACATACATGTCTACGATGTACTCCTGCAACAGGCGACCACCCCGCAGAATGGGTGAGAAGACACCAGTTCGGGTGAAGAGGGTGTAGGCGGCCCACTCAAGATTGGAGACCTTTCCGCTCTTGCCTGGTATGCTCAATGTCAGCACAGTGCCCCCTAAGATTTGAGATGGAAAGGCGTACGTTTGTTATTCATGTGCCGGTAATGTTCGTCCCAGCCGTGTGACCCAAACATGAAGAAGATGGGATACCTCAGGGAGAAATAGTTGGTGTTCAACTCGCAAATCCGTTGTCATGGGCCATCGTGGCGTCGTAGAATGATATCGCGGTCTTTTGATCCTATCTTGCCGTCGCCTTCAATGACGGCTGCAACCTCATTGCATGTTGGAAAGTTGTAGCGATTTGGGTCTCAACCATTCAATGCCATTGACTTTATTTTGATTGTTTTGATAGCAGCTCCGTCAAGGATTTGCTTGGCAGACTTGTACAATTTCGCGAATGGATTATGCCGATAAAGAAAGTTCTGTAAAATCTTGATGATTCCTGGCTCGAGGCCACCTCCAGCTCGGGCGTTTCGGTTCATTGCTTCATCTTCGCCTTGATCACCATACATGAAGATTTGCGCAAACTTCCTTGTCGCACCCGGGGTTGGTAAAAGGGAACCAATTTTGTGAGTGAGGCGGCCGACAATCGTGTAAGTCCAGGAGCCACCATTACCAGCTACAGAGACGTCTTGCTTAGTACCAGTAGAGGCGAAGGAGAGGGCGTTGTTATAGCGGCGAATTTCCTTTCTGAAGTCCTTGGAGGCTAGGGAGGTAAGTCAGCAAAGAGCAAATTGGGAGAAGGGGAGTGCTTACCTCGGTCCTGGTCAGAGAGAAGGTGCTTTAAAAATTCGGGTGTGAGTTCATTCTCATGGGTAGTACTGGGCAGCTTGACCGCACCCTCCTGGCAGCAGGCGGCGTATTGTGTGGTTTCAGCGGTGAGAGTGCCGCGTTGGCGTTCCAATTTCCAGTGCAGTGCTCCGCAGTAGGAGCACGGGTCGTCGCAGGCGCCGATGTTGTACGGCAATTCTGCTCCAAACCGCGCTTTGATAGCTGCCTCGGTGTTCTCTTCTGCATTGCGTACGGCGGGACCGTGGTTAACCATGAAGCCTGAAAGCGACACACAGGGGTATTCTGACAGGTTGACTTTTGGATGGGAGTATGTTGGTGCGGAAGATAAGTAGCGTTGACAGCGAGGTGGTGATGGGCAGACATGGAGCGGATGAACCTATTAGGCGGAATTCGCGTCAGTGATCTGTGGAGTCGTGCTTTTCCTGTTGGTGAAGCCAAACAATGTTGGCAAACAGTTTAGAATGTGAGAAGGGAAAACAAAGCAGTAAAGTGGACTGGAGAGGTGGATATTAAGTTTGTAAGGGGATTGCCGGTGGGCGAGAGATGGCAAGAGACTCGGCACAAATGGAAGTGTGGCTAGGAACAATTATTGCAGGCCAGTTTCAAATCGGGCGTTATATTTCGTCTACCTCGCGGGACTTTGGCACGGGTTGATTTAGTAGATTATTAATTTCGAATGGGACTCGTTTGTTGTACGGCTGCCTGAAGACACATTGGCGTAGGGTCACACAGAGGTGGATTATCAACAATCTATAAACATTTCGTACGGACTTGTTAATAGGTATATACACTATGCACTCTATCAACAAAAGAAAAGTAATGCATCAAAAGCCACGATCACGGTTCAAGTACAAAGCAATGAATAGATCATTCCTCCATCTCCCAATCATTATCTTCCTCAGCAGCATCTTCATCGTCTTGTTCAGGCTCTTCTGGGATGACGACGACCTTGGTGGATGCCTTGCTCTTCTTGGCTTTTGCAGCCGGGGCCTTCTTGGGTGGCGCTCGCTTGACAGCCGTTGCAGGTTGAGCAATGGTTGTTTCCGGGTCGGACATGTTAGCATCTGGCAAAGGCGACTCGATGGAAGGATCGTCCAAGACCTCTTTGGCTTTACCCTTGCCCTGCGTGCGTGGAGTTTTGGAAGTTGTTGCAGGCGGTTTGGGTAGATGCCTGGAAAGATAGATTAGTAGAGGAAGGAGACTGTTGAAGTAGTTAGGGACGCACTTAGCAGGTCGAGTTCGCCGGCCGGCAGCAAGTGGGGAGGGAATGGGCTCCTCAGCTGCTGCAGCTTTCCGTTTGTTGGACGCTGTTGCAGCTGGCGCCGAAGACGGACCAGCGACGGCGTTGGTGGGAGTGACTGGAGTCGGAACATGTCTATAGAGAGCAGTAAGCTTCAGGGTGAGGAAGGGGAGAGAGCAGGAGAGGCTCACTTCGCGGGCCTGACGCGCCCTGCCGGTGTGACGTGGCCAGATGGATCAGTTTTCGTCGCACCACTACCTTCGTTGCCTGTACAGGGACTGACAGACGTAACCTGGGGGAGGGGAAAGTGATGAGCCGAAGCAGCAAGACGTGAATGCGTTGTAGGCTCACCTCGACAATGAATCTATTGGCCTCAGAATCGAAATCAACGATAAAGCCAGATATTAAAGTTTCCCTTCCAACCTGTACCAGCTTTTGACTTTGTTCCATGTTTCGAGTTGGGCGGATTCTGTACTCAATCTCGAAGTATTGGTTTTTGCGTGCCTACAAATTGGGATCGAAATAAGTTAGAGAAAGAATGTCGAGCACCAAAACAAATGCCATCGCTCACTTGGGGCTGATAATCAATATGTTTCATGACGAAGCAAAGTACAGACTTGGTATCGTCATCAGCCGGCATGGTTCTGCGACTGGATACGATACCAAGGCCGGTGAGGGCAGTGTTGTTATGGAGAACACCGGTGAACGTCTCACTAGTACCAACAAATATTTTATGGTCTGCTTCGTAGTACATGTTGAAGTCGGCGGTGTCCTTGACTGGCAGGAATCGAGCCTTGGTAACAAAGCACTCGCCTTCGTGGGGTACTTCAAGAGGGGAACAGTAAGCTGTCCATTTACCGTCATATTCCTTGTTGTTATCCGAGTTCCACCCTTTTGTAGTGATAGCAACGGTACATGCCCGGTATGAATAGTTACGGCTGTCGGACGGTGGGAGCTGCGGGTCGGAGTCAGTAAAGGATGAGGAAAGAGATTGCTGGAGTACTGACCAAAGCACCGGTTTCGACAACACCTGAGATCGTGAGGACGTGGGATTGCTTGAGGGGAATGTTAGAAGTAGACATGGATGTTGAATGCTGAGAAATTGCGCTGAGTTTGTATAAATGTACGGTAGATGAGACCAAGAGATAATCGATGCGGGTCGGTGAACAGATTGATATGAGAGTGAAAGCTAAACAATGTGGATGCGAAAGTATACAGATAGAGATGGAGAGTGAAAGTCGGCATTGGTATTAGGTCAGTGCGTCGATGACCTTTATAGTCGATACCGAAGCTCTGCAAGGTTGTGTGGTGGAGGAACAAGGGTTGGAGTGACCAGGGCGGTAGCGCATTGACCACATTGGACATCGTGAGTTTAGCCTAGAGATGCGACTAAAATCGAAGTAGCCCACGCGTTGGTTAGTTGACAGAATGAACACTCGGAGGCCTGACCTAGGCAATCATGGATAGCTGCAAGAGGAGAGTACGTCATTGGCAGCGGGGTTGTGTAGGCAGGAGCAGAGTGAGAGTGTGGCGTAGTTGGGTAGGTCCAGGCTAGGAAAGAAAGTGTCGTAAGGTTATGTGGTAGGATGTAGAGGCCCTTCCGTAAGGAAGAGTTGTAGCCTGACCAGAAGTTGGATTTGAATAAGGTTCCTTGGCCAGGCGGACCCAAGGTCTTCCATGGGTTGCTCGTGGGGGCCGAGCTGGGTAGAGTCGGCTGCGGTGTGTCGGCTGTGGATGAGGGAGGTATTGAAATTGAGGCTGAAGAGAAGCAACAATCGGGATGGTAGACGTAAGTCTAAGGCTGAGTATAGCTTGGTATAGGGCTGAGTATAGGTTAGTATAGGGTATAGAGTATTTGGTAGAGTAAGGAATAGGGAAATTAAGGCTGAAGAGGGGAGACGGTTGGGAAGAACATTGCTTTAAGTATATAGATTTATGAGGAAAAAACTCTCACGCAGTTGCGGAGCAAAGAAATTGCAATTTTCGCGCTATGTAGCACACAACTTATGAAATTTTGGCTTTGATCAAGCGCGAGTCTGTGGACACGAAAGCGGCTAGCAAGGTTTGCAAATTGATTCCTTCATGCCTTTTTTATTGAGATCATCCTTTCAAGAGCACTGAAACACTGATAGTGCAATGTTGTAATCTGAAATCAAATGTTGACTACCCAGCTTCTCAATCAATGTATTGCTTGTTCTGAACCTACAGCTCCTCATATGATTTGCCTCCATATCACTCACTTAGCCAATACTCCAGAAGCTTCACTCACACATTTCAAGGCTGCTCTTTCAATTGGAAAAGAGAAATTTGAGGTAGTTCCACAAAATAAACAAAACAGTGATGTACCAACATGTGCCAAGATAGATCACATACAAGAGTGGGCATAAGTCTATTCAAGTACAAAATGAAATTCCAGAGTGGAAATGGGAATGGAGAATTAGAAAAAGTTGTGTGGTCACCTCAATTCAAAAAAGAAAGAAAGGGTTTTAATGAGTTTCAGTTCAATAAAAATAAGCATTGAATCAGAAATCACAATTCACAACTACTGATTAGGACCATTTAGATCCTGTTATATTTCAACTAACCGCCAAATATCCCGTGAATTGATTGATCGACCCTTCTGCTATCAGCTTATTTTATAGGTACAGTTGACTCTGAGATAACCCATACCCTTTTATGGAACCCAAAAAGTATGGGTTATCTTGGAGTATGGGCTATCAGGATTCTCTGCAATAACCCATATATTAGTGGTTATGGGTTATTGCAGAGATTTTTTTGCGGAAGGCAAGAGAGGATGTGATTTAATTGCATACGTTTCAAGAAGAGCAAGCAAGGAAATACAATAGGTTGGGCTGGACTAGCGTTTTGGAACAAGCTGCACTGAATGTACGCAGAGCTTGCCAAAGAGCCCTCCCACAAGATTTTGCTTCCTCAGAATCTTTGTGTCTGAGGTAATTTGTCATTACATTGGCCGACTTAAGGAAGTCGGAGTATGATTGCTTCAAAGATTTCCTCCGGACTCCAGGTCTCAAGGCCACTCGTCGGCTCATTGGTAGGATTTAGGAGTTCTGTAATGGGCATCATATTTTTTTATGAACAATTCAATGAAATGAGTTCTTGAATCTCCTGCTCAAGATCTTGCTGAGCAGATGGATTGAGACTCTATGGTGCAATATTTGATTTTTTTGTGGGAAACTATGGGTTTTTGGCTTTGATTTTCAAAAAAAAAGCTATGAGTTATGGGTTTTTGGCCTGTTTTCCCCACCCATAAAAAATATGGAGGCCAAAAACTATGGGTTAGGGTAGAGTATGGCGTATTGGGGATATGGGTTATTTCAGAGTCAACTGTAGCCAATCTTTGAAATACACTACATAGTGAAAGATGAGAAAACATCATTGGAATAAAATTCAATGGAATCTATAAATTGATGAATGAGTTGATCAGGTCTTTGTATAAGTTATGAAGGTGTATGAATTAAACTTGTTGCTTGACCTGTTATTTGTGTGGTTTGTATATGGAAGTCGAATACAATGATTTCAACCAGAACATGGTGGACAACATCCTGTCATGCTACTCAAGAACTAGGAAAATTTGACCAATTGATAAAAAATGTTGAGGAAGACAGTCCACACAGTCTGTATACGTTCCCTCCGCTATATATCGGAGGACACCCAGCCCTGACAGGTTGTGGAGCAAAAAATCTGCTATGAGTTTTCCCGCATTTGCTATATTTATCGGCGTATATAGCGGATGTGTTGACCACTGCTATTGCTCCGCAGCGGATGTATTGACTGCTCTGCTATTGCTCTGCAGCGGCTATATGCAGCGGAGCGATGGCGGTATTGTCCCAAGTTTGAGATCCAGGAACACCTTGTATTGGAAAACATAGGGTAAATACATTGAGGGTTCCGCAGTATTCAACAACTCAGGATGTGACACCTGGAGCCTGCCACGTCCTGTCAGGGAACAAGTCTGTGTGGAATAGTTCACACTACACAAAATATAATATTTTCTGGGCAGAAAATTAAATTATTGATACACAAAAATATTGAGAGGCCAGGAGAAGGGCAAAAAATAAATAAAAATATGCATCTTGTTCCCTGCGGTGAGAGCTTCACTCTCCATATTTTTCCATATTTTTACAGTCCGTATTGATTATTGTACTAACAATAAACCTTCATAATCATCCAATTACAACCTGTAACAAGCACTGAAATTTGGCTCATTAGTGTTTAGAGAAACTTTTGATACCTGAAAACACCTATAACTTTGTCAAATCTGCATCAAAACACTCGATTTTAAGTGCATTAGAAAGCTGAACTATTCCTCTCGAACTTTCATAAGATCAAGAACTATGTAGCTAGTATGCCAATCAATCTATGGATCTGTATGTACAAATGTATAAAAAAGATGATATCTTTTTCAGCAGACCAGCATGCTGTGTGGTCTTATTATGAGCTATTTGAAGGACAATTCCAGCTTACCAATGCACCCAAAATCAAGCGTTTTGGACCAGAATTGAAAAAGTTATGAGTATTTTCAGAAATCAAAAGTTTCTCTAAACACTAATGAGCCAAATTTCAGTGCTTGTTACAGGTTGTAATTGGATGATTGTGAAGGTTTATTGTTAGTACACTTATCAATATGGACTGTAAAAATACGGAAAAATATGCAGAGTGAAGTTCCCAACGCAGGGAACAAGATGCATATTTTTATTCATTTTTTGCTCTCCTCCTGGCCTCTCAATATTTTTGTGTATCAATAATTTAATTTTCTGCCCAGAAAATATTATCTTTCTTGTAGTGTCAACACCTTTTCCTCCCCATGAATCAAAGAGAGATAGAATGTCACATGTGTATTATTCATGATGCATAGTACTGGAAATCTGTGACATTACAAATACAAAGGGGTGTGACACAACAGATTACATGTGTAACACCATGTGATGTTTCACTGATATATTGAGTGATAACCGTGGTCACAGCTGCCAACTCCATGGCACTATAGCTCACACCGGGTGCAATGTTGTGTCGCATTCGGGGCTGCGACACGCTGTCGCTGCCTCGGGCACTCCACATGCCCCGCGTGCGACAAGCCAAATTTGGCTGCGACAACACACGGTGACCTGCGACATCCACCCTGCGCACCGGTCAAGTGCGACAACTGACCCTCTGTATGCGACAACTCACCCTCTGTATGCGACACACCAACCCTCGGCCCACCACGACTTCCCTTATTCCAAAGCACTCATTGACTGTCCACAACACCATACCTCATCGCTATCACAATGATCATATGTACTTGCTCACGCTGCGTATCGAAGAGATGTACAGACGAAGATGGGAACTCACATCCTGGTCAATTCGTATCTCGCGAAACCCAACTCAAACACCACCGCGCTGATCTCAAAGACTCAGACTCACCAGACGACTTATCAAGAAGCCGCGAAAGCTCTCCCGAACGTGAAACCAATAATCTTGAAGACTTGCTAAAGAAACAAGAAGGATTAGATTATGAGGCACTACATGTAGACGGGTCTGACTCATCAATTACTGGTGAGTGATATAGAATCGACACAATGAAGTCAAGTATCTGAGATCTGACCCTCCTTTTCTGTTCATCAGTGATCACCTTTGTAGGGTTATTTCTCAGTTGGCTTCACTTATTCTGTGGTGTTAGCGGTGTCAATTGCCAGCTTGCACGGGTCTTCATACTTCGAATCTTAGAAACGGCTCGGAATCCACTTCTAGACAATACCGAAGATCGCCAACTCCCAAAGGACATGCGTACCATTGTCAAGTCACTTTCAATTGGCCCTGTATTGAATAAACAAATCTGCTGCCCGACATGTTTCAGTCTTTATCAACCAGCCGGCGCACCCTGGTTATGTTCCTTCAGGAAGTCGCCAAAAGCTCACAAATGTGGCGAAGCACTCTTTCAGCTGAAGAAACTCTATCGAAGTCTTCGAGATAGGGGTGAAAGTCAAAGAAATCCCAGCGCTTTTTCAAACATGCCATCGTGTGAAATTGGGCATCCGCGCAACTTATATGTTACTCAGAAACTATTGTCATGGCTTTGCTGGTTCCTTTCCAAGTCAAACATTGAGCAGGAAATAATCGACTGGACCAACGAGCTCAGCAAGTCCTCCGAAACCAAGATATTCGACATCCAGCAGTCTGATGCTTGGAAGGAGGTCACTTGGCCAAGCGACCCTCCAACTGGACCCAAGCCATTGAATCTCATGGTCTCTTTATTCATCGATTGGTTCAACCCAAGAGGTAACAAGAAACAAGGCGCTCAAACATCAATGGGAGTTTTCGCTTATAACTGTCTCGACCTTCCACCCTCTCTGCAAAACCTCATTCACAACACGTGCGTTGCCGGAATCACCCCAGGTCCGCATGCACCAGATATGACGACTATCACTCATGTACTTAGAGATCACATCGACGACCTGATCCTTCTTGAACAAGGAATCATTATGCCCACCTCTCAATACCCAGAAGGTCGGCTAGTGCATGTCAAGTTACTTATGATACTAGGCGACATGGTGGGCATGCACAAAGTGGCAGGTTTTGCTTCTCATTCCGCCACTTTGTACTGCACATGGTGTTGGGCTTCTTCCAAGGATATGGATAAGATGAAGCTAGGCCGACCTCGAACAAAGGCAGAGGTTCTCAAAGCGGCAAATACCTCGAAATCAGCCATCACCTTGGCACGCAAAGACGAGATTCTCAAAGATACCGGTGTGCGTTGGTCAGAATTCAATCGACTCAACTATCGTGACCCAGTTAAGCACCTTCCACTCGGAATGATGCATAACTGGTTTGAAGGGGTCCTTCATCACCATTTTCGAATTCGATGGGCTTTTGTGATATATACACAAGAGCAAAAAGCTGGTATAAAAAAGAAGAGGCCGCATGGAAATCAGAAAGCCGACTCACTTCAACCTGCACCAAAACGGATGGTGTATGAGGAAGGATGTGGCAATGCAATTTATGACGATGAAGACATGGAAGATGGAGCTGAGTCGAGTGAATCAGAGCTTGATGTGGATCTTGAAGGTGGATGGGATGGTGGTCTTCTCTCCAAAGAAGATATCATGTTCTTTCGAAAGCGCTTGCAGGACGTCGTGCTACCTACTGGGATTCCAGGAATGCCATCAAACTTAGGAGACGCAAAAGCCGGATCATTGAAAGCGTCACAGTGGCATTCCTTATTCGCTTTCATCATTCCTTTGATTATCGTAGAACTTTATGTGGCCGATGATGTGGAAGAACTCAAGAACGATACGAACCGAGGTCAAATCTTACTCAATATTGCAAACTTAGTTCAATGTACAAATATAGTATGTGCTAAGAAGGTATCGGAATTCGAAGGAAAAACCTTTCAAACCTGTTATCGCAGATATCACGAAACATCAAAAAAAAATTTCAAGACGGTCCCTATTGTTTCCAACCATCACTATGCTTTGCATATACCCGAGCAAATGTTGCGTTGGGGACCTTTGTATTCGGTCGCAGAATTCTCTGGTGAAAGATTGATAGGGGTACTACAGAAAATACCAACAAACAAACGTCTAGGTAAGTCTTTACGTCAGCTTGTGAAGTCGGACAGATTGAGACTGATAGCTCTTTGTCCAGCTCAAATGGATGGGACAATCATGACTCGATTCAGTCAATGGCAGAGGCTGTCTGGGAATTATTCAGTGATCGACGATGTGGTAAACTCAGAAAATGGAACCAAGAAAGATCCCAGCAAGAGCCGCTATCGTATCAAGTTGGACGCTCGGGAATACGAACTCTTGCTCGATTTTTCACAAGTTCAAGACAACCAAATACAAGACTATCGCAATTTGCCTCATCCACCAAGAGCCAGGGTTTTACAACCGTATGCGATTCCAAGGGCTACATGGAGAGTTTCGAAAAGAATTGTTGTTTCAGTGCTGAAGCCAAATAATTGCATTGAATATAAAGATGAGGGTAAGACAAAGTATGGGATAATCAGACAAATATATGAGTATCAAAATGTCAAAGAGAAGTGGGAAACAGTATTGTTAGTTAGTCCCATTAATAACCTCTACCCAAAGGACCTTGAATCTCCTTCTCGTATCTTTCGTTATTTGATCTTTTTACTCAAATGTGTAGTTGGTCAAATTGATAAGCACCATATCATTCTACCCACTAAATCAGTTGTATGTGTAGCTGCTTATCGTCTCTTGCCTACAGATGTCTTTGGAATCAAAGACAATGGGATTATGCTTCGACCTTATGACTATAACTCACAATTAGATATTGTTTAAATGTATTGTAGTTATTTTTCTTTCTTTCTACTTTTGAAATCAAGATATGAACTTCACAAGAAGTATTGGTACACCTCATCGGCTTTAAAGTCAGCAAATGTGACCCAGACACTGAATGTGACCCAGACGCTGTTTAAACCTGGATGCGGACACTTGACTGTTTGGACTTGGTTTTATTCTGTGTTCCAATTGTGTTGGAATCTGTTAAAGATCTTTTTGTAAGGCTTTGGGAAGATCCTCAAAAAGATCAACGGATCAACTTTTTTTGGGACATGCACCACAAAAAGCTTAACACACCAAATCAATCAATTACTGACGAGAAAATATATAATGGGAAGAAAACAACAACATATATTTGGATTTAATGATTATCACAAGTTTTTTTTGGTGTTATTTCAAAACATCACAGGCAAGAATAGGAAGAAATAAGACAAGGAACAGTGTGTTTTTGTTATTTTTTTTATCACAAACGATTTTTTTGGCATTTTTTTAGACATTGATAGAGGGGCAAGAGAAGGATAATGGAAAATCAGAGACAATCAAAAGAAACAGGTGAAAAAAACCCGGACACCCTTTGTTTTACTCTTCCTCCTCATCACCACTATCATACAAATCACCATAATCTCCATCATCAAAGAATCCATCATCTTCATCTTCTACCACTTGTTCATCTTCACTTCCCATTGACTCGTCTTCATCTTCATCATCATCATCATCGTTGTCGTTTTTTTCATCAGGTAAGTCATAAGCCAGTAACTTTGAGTCAAGGTATTTTGCGGTGAATCGTTCGTCGGAGATGAGTTCATCGGGGTGGCGGGTTGACATAAGAGATTGACTGGCATCCGGAAGAAAGCAAACTTGTTCAGCGTCGGCTGTGAGACGTCTTTGGCCAGGGGCAAGGTTTTTGAACCACTTGCGGTCGTAGAAGTCGATTGGGAGGCCAGTTGGAGCTCGGGTGAATTCAGAAGGGACAGGTACTGTGGGTAATTTGCGAGGTATCTTTGTAGTCCCCTTACCGTTTGAAAGACTTTGAGCCTCCTTCTGCATCTCCACTTCAAGAGCACGGAACCACTTGCTGGCGTTCTTAGAGCGGTACGCAAGGGTTTTGATGGTTCGTACATTCTTGACTGGGTCAAGCTCGTCATCGCTATGTGCAAGGATATTTGCGCACAAGGTCCTGTAGCGCTTCGACGTTCTTCTTGTGTCGATACAAGTAATCGCACCTAGCCTCCATAAGCTGAGACATGAATCAGAAAAATGAAAATCAAAACAGAAAGAAAAATTAAAGTGAACACTCACCCTCTCCCGAGCCTTTTGGATATTTTTTCTTGCAGTTGCCCTTGCAGCACGACCAACCTCTTGTTTTTCAGCCTTGTATCTTCCTGCCATCACGAAATGTACATAATGATTGTACGCCGCAAGCATCTTAGACATTTCATTGACTTGATCACCCAAAACATTCATGTAATTGTAAGTACCAGTCGCAAAGAGTTGGCGAAAGGTGTTGAGACAAACAATCCGGCATGCTGAGTTGTAAAGAGAGTCGTGAGGTTCATCGAGGTCCGGTGCCCACTCCCGTATACCAACCTTCGCAAGGACACTACTCATGTAAAGAATTGACATCTGATCGATGTTTCCAAGACTCCTTGCTATCTTACCACCGCTGACTCGCAGTTCCTTTAAAGAGACAATTGATTCTTGAGCGATGAGATCAGAGCTGGCGGGATTCTCGAGCGTGGCTTCAACTTTGTTTGAAGAGTTGAATTTTGAGTAGAATTCTCTGAGAAGGTTGACGCAGGGGGTTGGAGGCACGTCGCTTTGTTTGTAGAGACCCCACATCATCTTGATATGGACATAGAGCGCGTCCTAAAACATGCAACAGTGAGGAGTCAGCCATCAATTACAGAATGACATTGCAAAAGTCAAAGGAAATTACCTTCGTTGTCTTGAATTTTTGGTCAATTTCGTCTGATTTGATTTGAAGCGGATGTTTCCTGCGAGGAGTCGGCGTCCTTGGCGTTTTGGGAGACTTAGACGGGGTGGTGGTCTTGGACACCTTACGAGACGTAGGAGTTGAGAGGCGCTGAGAAGGAGTAGAAGCGGTTGACTGGGTGGCCTTCTTGGTGGTTGATTTTTTTTTGACGGTGAGGCTGCCGACTTGAGTCTGGAGGTCTCCAATGATGCTTTCGAATTGACTCGCTTGTTGCTTCAAGGCGTCGGCAACTACAGCAGCCAAAGCTTCAGCCGTAACGGGGGCGGAAGAGGTAGATGTTGGTCCGTCAGACGAGTCGATGTTCATGGATGCAGACATTATTGAGGGAAAAGAGATTATAGAAAGTGAAAAATGAAGAATATGGGGAATTGATGGCGGAAGTTGAACGATAGAAGTAAAAGGGTCGATTGTTTGATTGAAGATGAAGATGAAGTGTAGTACGAGTGGAATTTGTTTAGTGGGTCGAAGGATAAAGCAAAGCAATTATGTTAGTCTTTATATAGGATTCCAGGAATTGGAAACGCAGGCACTGACCCAATTCGTATGAAAAAAAATCTTTCGACCGTTTGAATTCCCTTGAATGTTTGAATTCCTTTCAAAGTCCTTTGACACCTTTGAATTCCTTTGGACTAAGCGTACTACCTGAAGCTAAGATGATGGGATGGGGTGACGGAGGCAAATGTTCCAAGAACTTCGTCGGTTAATCTTCGATCGGATGGTCTATTTGGTGTGGGAATCCAATTGTGGCTTGTGAGATGACGAATGGCCTTCGATTCTTTAAGGTAGACCCTGACGTATGTAACTGTTGGTGGGGCTGTTCTGCTATGAACGCGAGACCGTTCAATGACAGATATGGCTCGGTCGAAGATGAAACCACGGATGGGTGAGTTGTCGCAGCCAAATAGTTGGCTGTCGCATTCGACACGAGTGTCGCAGGGCACAGTAGGGTGTCGCAGCCAAATTTGGCCTGTCGCACTCGGGGCATGTATATTCCCCAAGGCAGCGACAGCATGTCGCAGCCCCGAATGCGACACGACATTGCACCCGGTGTCAGTTGGTAGAGCGCCTGCTTAACACTTGTGTACGCATGATGTCCTGGGTTCGAGCCCCAGTGGAGTCAGCTGAATCTTCGTAAACCGCTTCTCGGTGTGTGTTGGATTTTATATCATCTTGTTAAGTTTATCTACCCAGTACAAAATTTGGTTTATTTTTGTCATTCTCATGGTCCTAAGGCAGCTTTGATGCAACTCAAACAACAATGTTGTTGTATTTTTATCAAACACAAATGATAAGAAAGTTTTTGAAACCCTGGCTGGACATCAAAGTTGATTAGTCTGTGTGGTGCACTATGGAGATCATGTGGACATGATGTTACATGTGTTTTATTTCTATACACTATCTGCTTGTTTTTCTCTCACTTGCACGTATAGAACTGGACTGTAAGGGTTGTAACACCATGGCCTCACACAGGTCATACTGCATAGTTTAGATGAGTCACTTGGCTCCACGTTGGGTTCCCTCTCTCCTCACGAACCCTGACTGGAGCTAGGTACAAGTTTCTTCAGTTCTTTATCTTTCTCTTTTATTTTGTATGTTTTGACTGTCGTTCTGATGCTTGGGTCTCCTCACAAACCCTGACTGGAGCTAGCTAGCAAATGGTAATATAACCAAGTTCTAGAATAGCTTTCAGTGGTTTTGTGCCAACGTGAGACTGAGATCTGAACCTTAGTGAAGGTTCTCCAGCGAGATCCTTACAATTTTTTATTCTAGAACACTTTTTTCTGCTTCTTGAAAATCATTCTGACTCTTGACATCTTGACAACCCTGCCAACCAACAGCCCGAACCCTTATGCCATTTAATCTTCCTTCAAACTTTTCCGCCAATCCTGAGAGTTTCTTACGCCGACAACAAACAAGTGAATCTGTTGGATCCCCTCCTGCACTGGCACCTCCTTGTTATTGTAACTGGAGACCACAAGCAAGCAAACCCCATACCCCTGACAAGACCATTCAAACCATTCTACCCTGGTCATTGCACTCCTTGATTTAATCAGACTCTGAACCAAGTAACACTCCTGACGCTAAAATAGTTCAAGAATTTTTCAATTCTCTCACGCCTCTGGTTCCCGGTAGTTTCATTTACACTCCCATGCCTGCTTCACGCGGAGGATTGTCGGATGCTGACACAGTCAAAGGTGAAGATCCAGAGGACCGTTGATCTAAGGATGAAATCATAGAGGCTCTTCACGAGCGAATGAGGCAACTCGAGGAGGAAAACGCAACATTCCAATCTCAAGCGGCAGCGGCAACAGCAGATTGTCAATGTCTGGATGCTCTCGAAGCAACCATCTCACAACTGGTGAAATGGCAATTGCCAGCAACCGGCAACAGTGGTGGAACCAATAATCCGTATGGACTGTTGGCATCTCATCAAGAGAACCTCAACACGCGTACCCCCTTAGCCCCCAGAGCTAGTCAATTCCAACAAGCTGATGAGATTGACGCATCACACTCGGTACCACCTTCAGTCTCTAGATCCCGCCCTGCAACACTTGAACAAGTGCAGGAATCAAACTTGAATGCACCTCCGGAAACTGCTACTACAAACCTACAAGAAAGCTTGAGGAGAGTCTTGCTTCAATCGCCTCAGGTTGCATTCATTGACGATACCGACAATTCAAATGTGAGGAAGGTGACGGCTAGTACCATCAAGATATCTGAGGTACCAAAATTCACCGGACCAACCAAAAATCCTGCAGCACTTTTCAACTGGCGCCGCCTCATCGACCAGTACTTCACGCTCAAAAATGCGACGGATGACGATCAACATCGTATCATCCTGGGTTCAGTTCTAGTCAAACCAAGGGCTGGATTGTGGTTTGTCAACTTGGCTTTGGATCTGAAAGAATTAACTTGGAATGAGATCATAAATGAATTAGCGGTAGAAACCTTACCAACAGGATGGCTTCAAGACACGGAGAAAGCAATCAGACAACTTAAAATGGATGTGTTAATGAAGATGTCAAGAGTTATTTTGGCAGAGCTCTTGATTTGTACAACATGGTTCAAGTGCAAACAACACTCTCACCTCAAAACTTGGCCGAATACATTATTTGGGGTACTCCGGATGTGTTTCAGTGGTGGATCAAAGATCGTAACCTCCTTCAAGTGGAAAATTTCAAGATGTCACCTTTCATTTTGGCAGCGAGTAATGTGTAGGATGTAATTCAAGCCAGTAACTTGGTGCCCCAGGTGAAGCCACATCATAAACAACTTCAACAATTACCAACCAGCGCAACGATCAAATTTGTCGTTCAACAATCCCACTCCCGACACGCGCACAGCTGATCAGCGAGCGGATAGCGCTTGGCGCTACCATCAATACATGAGACATCTGGGATTATGCGGCTATTGTTGAACTCAACGTGGCAACTCTCAATGCTGAGGCCCAGCAAAGGGAGTGTGTGTTACGGTGCCGGAATCCTTCAATCCAGGTCCCCGACCTGTACACCGTCAAGAAACGAACATCAACCCTTGGATCCGCCCAACGGCGACCCCGCCAAACAGACCAGTGGGACTGCCCGGCGCCGCTACAAACAAACCCGCCGGTCGGCCACCATCAAACTCAACTTTAATAGCAAGCATTCAAGAAAATGAAAATTGGTCATCTCCAGATCTTTTTGCTGAAGAAATCACACAATATGAGGAAGCTGATCGAGTCTTAGTTACTCATTTAGCCAAAGAAAAGGAAGACTCAAGGTACGCAGAGCTACCTTTTTCTCGGACTAAATCAATCATCCTCAAGCTGAAAATTAATGGGGTTACGTGCGTGCATTGATTGATTCCGCAGCAGAAACCAACTTGATGTTGGATCGACTGAACAAACAAGCACAAATCTCAAGGCGACCACTAGTGGCACCAATTGAAGCACGCCTAGCAATTGATAGCAGGGCAGTTCAAGACAGTTTTTGCGGACAACTCATTGGAACCTGGCAAACGTAAATTTTAAGGGTGTTACATCCTTAAGATTTACGTTTGCAGAGTGACAGAGGCCGTAAATATAAGTTTTACGGCCTTGTAATTTCAGGGCCAACGCCTGAAAAGTGTCTTCTTTTTTTGGAAATGATTGTTTTTTTAAATGTTTTTCAGTTCTTTCAAATGTTTGTTTAAGGTTTTGATTTGCTGAATAAACTGGCAGAAGAAATTAAAATTAGACCCTCGATCTTCTTCTCGTCGTTTCCCATCCCTTTCCCTCCTTCTTTTCTCCTATAATCATCCATTCAAAATTATGCCTTGCGCCTCTGAGAGAGCAAATGTCATCCGCGATCTCACCACCTTATGCATGTTGGCGCATATGGACTCTACGATATACCTACCCGGCGAAGACCATATTGAACCCAGCAATGGGCAAATGATATTTCCAGACAGCAATTTAATGGCGACTCTGTATAGGCCGGTTCGGATATTTTCTTCGTTCACAATTTGAATTTAATTATCTTCATGAATAGGGTTATCTGTTGCTTGACCAAGGAAAGGATCACTGTTGGTGTCAATTGTCGTTATCAAAAGCAAAGGCCAGGGAGACGTCCAAACCCAGACTTTGACCAACCCGACCGCAAAAACCAGGACGACAGGCAAAGGAGTACGTGTTGCAGACCTTCTGGGTTTGACAGATGCACTTGATTATTGATGATCTAATGGTTGATGTGATGTGGATAGCACGGGAGGCCAAGGATAGGGTGAAGAGAAACAGTTGTGAGAGGGTGACATTGTGAGCCAGCCCCCGTGGTCGGATTTCATGTTGATGATAACAGATCCGTCATATGTTGGGGGTTCCAGGTCAAAGGCACAATCTTTGCTACAAAAACTTTGTTAATGAAGGAGATTACGAAGTTAAAAAAAGGCTTTTTTTTTGCAGCCGGTGGATGCAGGGACAAAAGCGAGAAAAAAAGGTACCAAAAAATTCTTCTTTTTTTGGATAATTTTGATTTCCGCTGTGAGAAGCTTTGATTTTTTTATGACCAAATGTCAGATCACAAGGTTGTGAACCAGCTCTAGAGCTTGTTTGCAAAACTTAAAATTTTAAGTGACTGAGCAGGTTGTAAACTTTTAAGAGGGGCTGTAAAACCTGTTCTTGAACTGCCCTAGTGGTGATAGTAAATCATTCCTTTTCAAAGAATTCTGCTTTGCAAACGTAGCAGCTCATGAAGCCGTGTTACGTTTTGGATCAACCTTTTTGAAGCTCACACCGCTTGGAGACAGATTTGATGTCATCTTAGGCACTCCTTTCTTAGAAAAAGTTCATCTTGATGTATCTCTCCACAATTGCACTGTCAAACATGTACCTTCAAAAACTATCTTGAGAGAAGGATGTGCAATGGATGATATCAAATGCAAATTGAGCCAATCCATGATAGTGTGTGTGATGGAGAACTTATCAAAAGTGAAAGAATGCCAAGATTTGTCTGGCCGCGAAGAGCAAATATTCAAGGAGTTCTCTGATATATTCCCAGAAGAATTGACAGCAGTTGAGGCAGGTGAGGAGGATGATTTCATTCCACCCAAAGGGCAGAGTGAAAACTCCAAGATACGCCATAAGATTGTGTCGACTGACCCTAACGTTGTGATCAATGAGAAGCAATATGCTTCCTCGGAGAAATACCAAGCGGCTTGGAAGAAATTAATTGACCGGCACCTGAAGGCAGGATGAATTTGATGATTGACAAGCCGCTATGCTTCACCATTGATGATCATACCCAAGAAGAACCCCAACGCATTACCCCGCTGGGTATGTGATTACCGCAAATTGAACAAGTACACGGTGAAAGACCGCTCACCATTACCAAATGTAGACAAAGCGGTTCAATTAGTAGGAACGGGGAAGATCTTTTCAATTATTGACCAGACCAACTCCTTCTTTCAGAAACTACTGCGTGAGGAAGACATCCTATTGACAGAGGTCAAGACCCCGTTTGGATAATCTGAATGGGTAGTCATGGCTATGGGACTGACCAACGGACCAGCGACTCATCAGGCAAGAGTGGAAGAGGCTTTAGGTGACCTGATAGGGAAGATCTGCACGGTTTTTATTGATGACATTGTGCTTTTCTCAGATTCCGTTGAAGAACACAAAGAACACGTACAACAAGTGCTTGAAAAACTGAGGGCAGCAAAATTATACTGTTCACCGGCGAAAAGCAAGTTATTCAGACGTAAAATCAACTTTTTGGGACATGAGATCAGCACTGACGGTATCTGCCCAGACACAGAGAAGGTAGAAAAAATTACAAAATGGAAGGCACCTTCAACTCAAGAGCAACTCTTACGCTTCCTAGGTACAGTTCAATTCCTCAAGAAGTTTGTTGATGGATTATCACATTACGTAGGAACACTTTTGCCGCTCACAAGTACGAAGAAGAAGAATGAACCATTCAAGTGGGGTAAAGCTGAAGATGACGCTTTTGAAAACATAAAACGCATCATGACAACCTTACCTGTACTGAAAACACTCAATTACGACTCCGAGGAAGACATATGGCTATTCACCGACGCGAGTGGTCACGGCTTGGGAGCAGTGTTGTTCCAAGGAAAGGAATGGGATAAGTCGTCTCCAATTGCTTATGAGAGCCGCACCATGAAGCCTGCTGAACAAAATTACCCTGTTCACAAACAAGAATTATTGGCAGTAGTTAACGCACTTCAAAAGTGGAAAATGCTCTTACGCGGACTGAAAATCAACGTGATGACAGATCACCACTCCCTCACTCACCTCCTGACTCAACGCAACATCCGCCAACATCAAGCTGCGGGGCTGGAAACGCTCTCACGAATTGACCTAAACTTCAAATACCTGAAGGGTGAAGACAACAGCATATCAGATGCATTGTCGCAATCAGAGGAAGTAGCTTGTTGTGAAGTGCGGAGCAAACTCAGTGAAGACACCTTAGCCAAGATAAAGAACGGGTATCCAATTGACACCCACTGCTCAAGACTATCAGCAACACTGCCTTTACGACAAGGAACTGAGGAAAAGAATGGGCTCTTGTTTGTTGACAACAGATTGGTTCTCCCGGACATCAACGACTTGCGGCAGCGATTAGTCAAACAAACACATCACGCTCTGGGCCATCTGGGGACGTGAAAACCTG